GGTGTCTCTAACTCTCCCTGCAGCCCCGCTCAGGCGCCTCTACAGGTGAGCGTGGGCTGGCCCACACCTGCGCCTCACCCTGGCTGAGGCCTGCCCTGGGGCCCCAGCCTCCACTCCTTCAGCAGATTCACCCTGACATTCCCGTTTCTGCACTGCCTTCCAGCCTCCAGTGGGTCACAAACATACTCCAGCACTTGCTTATATTTAATCCAGGTTTATTCAATCAGCAAACACGTATTGATTGAGTGGCTACTAGATACCAGGCACCATGCTGCCTTGTGGACTTGGTAGAGTAGACACAGTGGGCAGGTTCCTGGGAAAGTGCTGTACAGTGACATTTCTGGCACATAGATGGAGACCAGCTGTCATCAGGGGGGTTGTCTGTAGCAGTGACAGTTAGGCTGAGGTGTGAGGATGGCAATGGGCAGCCATGGAGAGCATTCCAGGCAGGGACAACGTCCCGTGAGGGTCGGAAGGCACCGACGGGTTGCAGAACCTGAAAGGGCTGGGAGAATGGCTGGGAGGGCTCGTGGAGCCTGGGCCGTGGAGGATCCAGACTTCACCCTAGGTGCAGCAGGGCAGCTGAGAAGGATGGGGTGCAAGCAGGAGAGTGGATGGGTTGCCTGGTGGGCTCAAGGCCCCGGGTCCAATTCCCAGCACACAAGCAAGGGAGGGCGGGAGGGAGGGGAGCTGGACAGGAAGCTCCAGGTGGGATGGCCGGCCAGGGCCAGAGCCCTGCCAGGAGACACAGAGAACCTGGGACTGATGTGCGGGAGACTTTGGAGCTGGTCCTGTGCATGGATTAGATGGCGGAGAGGGAAGAGACRAAGACAGGGATCAAAGATCCTTTCCAGATTTCTGGCTAAGCATCTGAGGGTGGGGTAGCTCCCTTCCAAGGAGTGAAGGGAAAAGGAAGGCATTGGTTTGGAGAGGAGGGATGAAGTAGATTTCCCTTTTTTTGCGTGGGGCAGGGGAGGGTTACCAGGGATTGAACTCAAGGGCACTCCACCCCTGAGCCACATCCCAGCCCTATTTTGTATTTTATTTAGAGACAGGGTCTCACTGAGTTGCTTTTGCTGAGGCTGGCTTTGAACTGTCCATCCTCCTGCCTCAGCCTCCTGAGTTGCTAGGATTACAGGTGTGCACCACGGAGCCTGGCTTAGAGTTCCCTTCTAAACACATGAACTCTGGGATGACTGAGAGGCATAACAAGGAGATAGCAGGCTGTCAGACTTAAGTCAGGAGCTGAGAAAAGAATTCAGGGATGGAGACAGAAATTTGGAAATACAAGCAGAGTTTAAACCTGTGGGAGTGAATTTACTGTATCAGTCTCCTGAGGCTGCTATAACAAGTGCCACAAAATGTGTGGATACTTGGATACTTATTCACATACTTCTCTCACAGTTCTGGAGGCTGGAAGACCAAAATCCAGTGTCATCAGGGTCATGCTCCCTCTGAAGCCTCCAGGGGGTGTCTTTTCCTACATCTTCCTGCTTCGGTAACTCTAGGTGTTCCTGGGCTTGTGGCAGCTAATTCTACTCTGTCTTCACATGGCCCATTTGCTGCTGTGGCTGCATCCAAATTCCCCTCTTATAAGGACACTAGTCATATTGGATTAGGGGCCAGCTACTTCAGTATGGCCTCATCTTAATTAATTACACCTGCAACAACCCCATTCCCAAATAAGGTCACATTCTGAGGTCCCAGGATTGCAACTTTCGCTGATCTTTTACAAAATTCAACTCATGTCAATTATCTTGGGCAAAAATCGACAAGGAGATGAGCAGGGCCCAGGGCTTCGCCAGCATGTGACAGTGGATAGAGGAAGACAAGCCAATAAAGGAAGTGGACAGGCCAGTAGCAGAGGGGTGGATGGACAGATCTGGGAGACCGTGGCGCCCAGAAAACCAAGAGCAAGAGTTGCAGAGTGGAGCGGTGGACTGTGTGGAAGAAAGGCAGCTCTCGGGTCTGCGGGTGAGAAGTTAACCATGGACATGACAGTGTGGAGGCCATGCCGGTCTCACCAAGGACAGTACTCAGCAGAGCATCGCCAGGTCCCGTTAGAAGAGGCTGAGGGGATACAGTGGGTCAAGAGATGGAAACCACAGGGGAGATCACCCACAGGGACTGGGGTGGGGAGTGGCAGGGCACCCGGCAGCGCTGCAGGAGATGGGAGGGCAGGGACCCTCTGGGTCTGGGTGTGTTGTCGAGTTTGCTTGTTGTGTCCTTGCAGTCGCTTTGTTTTCTAGAGTGGAGTTGCTRGTGTCCATGAGGTGCTTCTTTAGCTACTTTCCGAGTCTGGTGTCTGTGTTCCCACGTCTCGTATCCGTTGTCAGTTGCCCCATGCTCCAGTGTCGCCCTCCCAGCTTGAGAGCCCTTCACAGGACAGAGCTGTTCTTTTGTTCCCCAACCATTTAACCCGAGGCCCGAGCGTTTATTCTTTGTGGTCAGAGCAGGAAAAACCTGTGCTGTATGTGTGTGTCATGGTACCAAGAGCGGCTGCGCTTCATTTTCTTGGTCRACTAAGCAATTTTCACAGGCCCTGCTCGTGTAATGTCAGTTGTCAAGACCTGTGACTTCTGTTTCTTGTCCAAGAACATCACCAGAGTGCCAGGGAGACAGTCTCAGTTTGGGATTCTGCTGTRCATGGCTCCAGGGGACAGGAACTGGAAAGGGAGGTGACCACAGGTAAAAGGCAGCCTGCTTTGGGGCTGTGAGAGCCCATCTAACTGATAGGAAGGGCCGGCCCAAGGTCAAGCGCAGAGAAGACCCCAGGGAGCTTACCTGGAGAACGGCGTGGCACACATCCCCACATCAGCCACTCTGGCCACCCACTGAAGGCAGCCTGCGCCACATGTGACGGGAGGCAGGGCATGACTCTAGAGCAGGCGAGGCGGGGAGAACGCAGCGCTGAGCACTCTCTCCGTAGGGTTGCTTTCGGGCATTCCTTCCTCTTTCCGAGGGCTGCGATTTTTAAGTAAACTGAACCATCCTTACAGCACACTAGAGGTGATCCAGCTAGGACCTCGTCATCCCACACTGAGATGGTGAATGTGGGAGCCCCGTATGTGGGACACGTGGGGCACAGGTGACCTGGCAGGCTTGGGGTTGAGGCTGCCTGCAACAAGGGTGTGCYGCGGGGTTCATCATGGAGCCACCCAGGCAGCCCCAGCTCTTGGATGCCAGAGGGCAAGAGCAGCCCAGAGTGGCCTGAAGGAGAGTGAGGGGCCAGGGAGAGCCCTGGCAGCCATCCCCAGTATTGGGGACAGGGACCATGGAAGGCCTGTGAAATAGCAGCACGGGGGTAGTGTGCTCSGTGCCCTCCCGGCAGTGACTCTCCTTCTGTGAGTCAGCTTTCCTTCTCTGAGGCAACTGACTTATGATACAATCGGGCATTTTGGTTCACGGTTTGAAGGCTCCAGTCCCTGGTCAGCTGGCCCCATTGCTTTGGGCCTAGCGTGAGGAGCACTTCCTGGTGGGAGAGCACGACAGAGCGAAACCATCATGAGCCATGGAGCAAAAAGGAAAGAGAAAGGGGTTGGAGGCCCAAGTCCCTTTCAAGGACATGCTCCCGATGACCCAAGGGCCTCTCACTAGGCCCCACCTCCCAAAGGTTCTGCCACCTTCCAGTAGCACTACCCCGGGGGACCACATAGGGCCTCTGGGGGACATTCAGCATCCAGACCAGCATACCCCCTTACTGCCCAGAGCAACAGTGAGGTGACTCCAGAAGCACCATCTCCACCTCCTTTGTGCATCTGAAAAATCCAAACTTTGTCACAAGATATTTCAGTGGGTTTTTTTGTTTGTTTGKTTGGGGTTTTTTGTTGTTGTTGTCTTCAATACTATTTTCTAGAGAAGGGAGATTAGCAATGAGAGCAAATTTAAATGGGGGAGGTGAAGCTTGCTTTTTGAATGGAGAAAATTCATCCAGAAGATCAGAAGCCAGCAGAGGCCACCTGGCGCCTCTCCTGTCAGGTGGGTAAAAGGTGACCTGRTGGAGGACAGCCTCTGCCCTTGGCTACCGCTCTTGATTGCTAACGGCAGGCACAACAGCCTCCCCTCGCTTCGCTTTATCAAGTGGGAAACATAGGGAGAAAGCTGCGGCGGGGCTGATGCATTTTGTATCACACAGCGCCCGAGGCCACAGTTCCAAAGAGTWTGAGCTGTGTTCACGTGTCAAATTTTGAGCCTGGATGTCCCTAAGACGTACCCCTCCTGAGTCGTAACAAATGCTCAGAGAAGAGGGTGTGCTCTGTGGTCTCTGGTTTTAATTACCAATTTCATGTGCAGTTTTCTGAATTTAAGTGGTTTCCTTTGAAATCTCCAGTATGTGGCCTTGTCTGTTGTGTGAGGGGACATAGGCTCCTATAGTCAAGAATGGGTTGTTGGTAGCTTCTAATGGAATTCTGGTTGATTCCTAGATGATGTATTCATGAACAGGGAATGATAATTGTAACATGAGAGATCTTCTTCTGAGATTAACTTTGTAGAAGCTAATGAAAACAAAATAGTAATGTTTCCTTGAGAAAATGTGAGATAGATCCCCAAGAAAAGAATCACCGGTGAGAATGGATATTGGACTTAATCCCATTGTTTTGGTGAAAGCAAATTGTTTCACATCTTCTTAAAAGGAGAATATTTGTGTTTCAGAATTCCTTTGTAAAAAACAGGCATCCTCCAAAGATTTCCAGGTCTTTAGTTATAAAAGCTGGCTCCCTGGTCCCATTCACGTGGTCATCATTTCATCTGGTTGGCATGTAGGTAGTGAAGCTCATAAGTGTGCTTCCTATAAGATCTGCTCCCCAGGTACCCGCCTGGCCCTACGGAGCCAGACGGAGCCCGAGAGTGGATGGGTCACTGCACCACACCAAGTCTCCTGGGCACCACAGGCCTCCACAGGCAGTCAGCAGGAGTCCCAGGTTGGAAAGCCAGAGTTCATGTAGAAACAGCTGCCTGTCTCCACACTGCTAACAGCTCCTTCCGTTCTTCCTTTCCAGGGCCCCTGAGATCATCCTTGGTTTACCGTTTTGCGAGGCAATTGACATGTGGTCCCTGGGCTGTGTCATTGCAGAGCTGTTCCTGGGTTGGCCATTGTATCCAGGAGCTTCTGAGTATGATCAGGTGGGTCCCAATGACACAGGTATTCACAGCGGGACCTCATTCCTCAGCTTAAAAATATCCTGATTAGCATTTCATTTCTAACCCCACCTATGGGTGCCATCATGGACTCGCTCATTATCTCCCAAAATTGCTTCCCTTAACCTTGCTATTTTGTTCTCTTTTCCTTCTTCTTTTTGTATGAAACTGTCATTTCCATTTTTTTCAAATCCACAAGAGCCATGAGTACGCCATATGTACAGTGACAAGAAAAGCCCTGACCCCCTTCTCGTCTTTTCTTGCAGATTCGGTATATTTCACAAACACAGGGTTTGCCAGCTGAATATTTATTAAGCGCAGGGACAAAGACAACTAGGTTTTTCAACCGTGACACAGACTCGCCGTATCCTTTGTGGAGACTGAAGGTAGGAAGAGCATCCCCTCCCTCCTCGCCAGTGGCCCAACACTCAGGAAGGAGGGCACAGCTCCAGTAGAGGGGCGCTTTTGACATTAGCGCATTGATCCCAGGTCTCACTTTAATTTGGTGAGCAAAATGGGGGCATGGGGTGTGGTTGTTAATACATGGTGCGACCAAACTTGCAAGTTCAAAAGCACCTTTCCTCTTGGCCCACTGATGCCTGAGAAGCTTGAGTCCCCAGTTAAGATCATTGAACTCCCAGGATTTCACTCCATGAGCCTCGAGGACTGATTTGTTCTGGGGAAAGAAATGAGCTGCCCCTTTGTCTGGAGGAGTACAGAGTCCAGAGGGAGCCAGGCTCACGTGCAGCAAGCTCTGACCCATGACCTTGAGAACTAGAATGAGGGGGTGGGCCCCGTAGGACGCAGAGAGGTTTGTGAAGGGTTCTCCAGGCAAAGGAACCGCCTCAGCAAGGTGCATATCGCAGGCCCCGTGGTCTGATCTGAGGTGGCGTGTGCTCCGTGGCACGCCATAAGTTCTTCAGGTTTTACACAAATGGAAACGTATTTTGCCTTCACTTTGATCTGTGCCTCGTAATTCAAATTAATGTATTTTCCTGGGAAAGAGAAAATAATAAAAGTCTTAAATACGTTTTATATTCACTTGAGGTGTTTCCTTTTTTGCAGGAGGGTGGGTGGGTGGTTTTTTGGCAGAAACTACAGCCAGATTCTAATATAGTTTTAAAATAACATGTGGCAAATAGTCACAGAAGATTGAGAAAAGAGAGTTGTGAACTAAGCAGGCCCTCTTAGGCCATTGGGCCACATAAAGATGAGCATCAAGGTCAGGTCCAGTTGGAAGCCCTCAGTGGAGGAGGCTGAGCCAGGCGGGGGCAGAGCCTCATCCCACTCGTCCAGCTGTTCCCAGGAGTCAGCAGTTTCAGGTGTGCTGTCCTTGAGTGAGATTCTGGGATCAATCACCTCTGTCCATGGATGAGTCCAAAACCTCATGACAATTGGAAACAGCGTTTCCCAGCCAATGGAAGCAGTGGATGTCTGTGTCCCTGCCCAGGCAGCACAGATGGTGGGCTCTGGAGCCACCTGCCACCTGCTGGCCAGAGGACCTTTGCAAGTTCCCTAGGCTTTCCATTCCTGTTTTCCTGTCTGGAAAATAGGGTTAGCAATCATCCTAGTGTGGTTAGGAAGACTCCTTCATAGGTTAATGTGCTTTGAAATAGCACTGGGAGAGCTTCGTGTATAAGGACTTATTACATAAAGTAATATTTTATATAACATATTATATAAGAAGGGGGCTCCTGCTTTTCCACCTAGACTCCTATCTCAAACTTAGGGAAGGCTGCAGGGAAGTCAGGAACACGGCAGACCGCCCTCATCTTAGAATACTCCATCGCTGATTCAGAGCAGGCCATGAATGGAGGTGTTCATGGGAATGAGAAGGATGAGTGAGTGTGGATGAATAAAGGAATTAGTGTGCAGGTTACTTTAAGAAGAATCAAAGCCTCTTCTCTACCAGGTGGGAAGGACCCTCTGCGGGAAGCATGAGCTCAAGTGTTTGAGACTGAGTGACTAGGAGCTAAGCCACGTTACCAATCAGCTTTTGCCTCTCTTGATAGACACCAGATGACCATGAAGCAGAGACGGGGATTAAGTCAAAAGAAGCAAGAAAGTACATTTTCAACTGTTTAGATGACATGGCCCAGGTAAGTGCCGTGGGTGAATATGCAGTGCAAGCCCTTTGAACACCATGTGCAGCAGGACCTCTGCCGGGGTGCATAGTGCAGGCATCTGTGGGCTGTGTTCCTTCTGAAGACCCCAGGGAAAACCATCCATGACTCCCTACCAACTTCTGGTGGCCCTGGCATCCTCACATCCCTTGCCTGGTAGCTGTGTCACTATCTGCAAACACCCCATCAGTTACTTTGGATTAGGACAGAAACAGATCTTTTTTTTTTTTTTTTAAAGTTGTAGATGGGCACAATACCTTTATTTTATTTATTTATGTGGTGCTGAGGATCGAACCCAGTGCCTCACACAAGTGAGACAAGCAATTCACCACTGAGCCACAACCCCAGCCCAGGAACGTATCTTACAGGGGAACATAATTCAACCTACTCCACTTACTTTCTCTCAGCTCACTAGCAGGGACCATAGAATCTCAACTTCATGCCCCAGAGAAAATTCTAAAACTTCAGCTATTTTTAGTGTGAAGCCTAGTCTAAAATCAGGACAACCCAAAGTGAGTTTTCTTTAAAGCAATGAGAAATAAAGCTATAGTCCAATAAACACTTAGCACACCTCTTACTGCAGATGAGTGTAACCAAAAATCCTGATTCTGAGTAAAGCACACTTGTCAGTTGATTAGTAGCTTAGATTGTCTGAGAACACTGAAATTGCTTTCCAGAGCATGCCTTGGAAAAAATAGAAAGGGCCAAAAAACAAGAATTTAAAAGCCAACCTGGTAGAGACTTTCTCTTGGAAGAAAAATCCTGTGTTCAGATACCCTGCCTGCTTTGGCCAGAGGTGACCACAGTGAACACAGAGAATAAAATAATTCCAGTCCCAACTCAGGGAGCCATGAGAAGTGTGACCTACTATAGATGGAGGAAGAGGGCATTTGGAGCCTTCCATTTCCTTCTGAAGGTTAAGTAAACCGTTTTTTGGATCTTTTTTGTATTGCTTCATTGTGATTCTTTTTTCTTTTAATTGTCATAAAACATAGAGCATAAAATTACCATCTTAGCCTTTCTTATATRTACAGTTCAGTGGAATTAGGTGCATCACATTCTTATGCAACCAGTCTCCAGAACTCTTTCATCTTGAGTTATTTTTAATGAGGTGTGATGGGAGCTACATTTTGACTTAGCTGATTAAAGCAGGAGCAGTTTCCGTTCTGTCACTGAGATGTGTTTGCAGGTGCCACCTACCCCTCGCCCCTTCCCAGAGCCTGACCTCCTCCTGCAGAGAGCAAAGCCACCTCCTGGGGGCTACAGCAGCCTGAGGGTGGTGCCTCCACAGGGGCAGAGGTGGCCTCCCCGAGCTGGGAAGGGGCCTGGAGATTGGCAGGAGGGACAGGACAGAGTAAAGAGAGGTGGGGGAGGCAATGCTCTGAGGCCCCTGGTCACCTGTCCTGCTTGCTTCCAGGTGAACATGACCACAGAGTTGGAAGGGAGTGACATGTTGGTGGAGAAGGCAGACCGGCGGGAGTTCATTGACCTGTTGAAGAAGATGCTGACCATAGATGCTGATAAGAGAATCACGCCAATTGAAACCCTGAACCACCCCTTTGTCACCATGACACACCTACTCGATTTTCCCCATAGCACACAGTAGGTGTCCTGCTTGTTGCTTTATACTAGGGAATGGTCCTTTTTCTTTAACAGCCTGGGTAGTAAATATTTTAGGCTCTGTGGCCATCTGGTTTCTACTGCAGCTACCCAGCTCCGTCTTTATGATGGAAGCAACCACACAGCACGGAAACAAAGGCACGAGGCTGCATTCCCATAAAACCTTTATAAAAATATGGGGGTTGGACCAGGACCCTTGGTCGCTGTTTGCTCGATACCAAAAAAGAGGGACAATGGAGCATGGAGATCCTGGGGTCGGATGAAGCCAACTCAGGGGTCCACGTGTGGAGGGAACTCCCAGAAGGGCAGTGCCCAAGAATAAAACTAGTTTCAGCACCAGGTTTACTCCCAAGTCACCCTGGAGTGGACCCAGTCTAGCTTATGTCTGGATTTGTTCATTTACGGTACCAGGAACTGGAGCAAGTGGGGAACAAAGCAGTTGGCCCTGCCCACCAAGGTTACTGTCTGCAGGAGGAAGACAAGTGGCCCAAATCCCCAGTCTCCATCAAGAAAGGGAAGGTCGTTATGTGCATATATGACAAGGTCAGTCCAGCAAGACCCTGAGAAGTGCCCTCTGAAGACAAGGAAGAGAATAGGCACGAGCAGGCAGGGCATTGTCTGTGTGGACACTCAGCATGGGCAGGACTGAGCCCCAGACTTGGGCACAGTGGGCGAGATACCAAGGCCACAGGAGCAAGGCCTGCATGGCAAGGATTTGGGTCTTTATCCAAAGAATAATAGAACGTCAAAGACTTTGAAGCAGGGGAAGGCTAGTTAAATTTATCTTGAACACAGGTCTCTCTGCTGCTGCACAGTAGTCTGGGGAAAATGTCTATCAAATCTTACAATCTGGAGGTCATTGGTATTTTGGTGACAGCCCTTTCCGTGCAGTGGTGGAAGCAGAAGGCCATAGCAGGTTGAAAGATCCAGTGAAAAGCAGAGAAATAGCAGCCTCTCAAGACATGAGAACGGAAAGGGAGGGGAGAAATCTATGGGTGATCAGGGAGGGGCAGAGGGATTTTTTTTTGAAGACCAAGAAGGCTTGAACAAGTTTAAATTCTGATGGGAACAATCTGGTGGCAAATGAGAAATTAGGGGACAGGGTTGCTCAGGGTCAGTTTATTAACACAGTGGAAAGGCCTGAGTTAGAACACAGGTGGAGAGGGGCCAGTGTCACCAAAAGATGGCAGACAAAGGGAGGTGTGGGTGTTAGCAGGTGTGCTGGCATGGTGGAGAAAAGCTGAGAGAGTTCCTGTCGGATAGATGGTGAGGTTGTGTGTTGCAAACAAGGTGGTTGGTGGTTTGAGCAGGATAGAAAGTTTAGATATCTAGAGCAGAAGTTTCAGAGCAAACTGACAAGAGCATGAAGTTGGACCTGAAAAGCAGATGATGTGACTGACCTCCCGAGGAGAAAACAGATGGCTGGGTTTGTCTGGGTCAAACTTTGCCAGACTGATAAGAGAAAAAGACGGGTTGATGAGGAAGGCGATATTGCTGGCAATACAGTGGTTGTAATCCAAAATGGCAGCAATGCCGAGCCTTAGCTGAAGGGAATGTGAAGATGAGAAGGGTCCCACTGAACGAGGTGCTTAAAAAATTAGTCATAGGATAGAGGCCAGCTGGCAGCTGTACGTCACAGCCATACCAGGACCATGACCCAGCTATGTGGTCTGGGGATGTGTGTATGGAGATAGCAGCTGAGGCAGAGCAAGGCGTGCCAGCAGCAGCCACAGAGGAAGCAGCTGCTACTGGAGGTGGCCACTTTCGTGAAGGAACTGTAGGCCTCGTGGAAGACGTGATTCAAGAGAGCTACCTCCACCACGAGGGCGCTGTGAAGCAGGGAGGTGTTGCACACCACGAGGCCAGTGGTGGTGACCAGCAGTCCAGGCAGGAGCAGCAGCCCAGGCACCCTACAAAYGTGGCTGAGGCGGTTCCTCAGCCCCAGCACAGCCATCCAGGAATCCAAGTTCTCAAAGTGGCAGTTGCAGGAACTGAAAAGTGTTTTCCAGGCAACTCAATACCCTGGTGTGATCACCAGAAAGGGACTTGCAAGGTACATCAATGTGACTGAAACCAGAGTGTAGGTTTGRTTTAACAACAGGAGAGCCAGATATAGGAAATTAATGCTTGGAGATGCACCGTCTGGTTCCCAGGACCACGTGTTCCTGGCAGACACGAACAAACCCTCCTTCAAGAGCCAGATTAGAGATGGGTCTACCTGTTGCAACTGCTACATGGGCCACTGTTGATGCCCAATGCATACTTATCTCCTCAGCAGTTGTATTAGCAATAAAGGAGTGAATTATCAAAAAAAATTTATCATAGTAATAGCTGAACAAGCTGGATGGGTAGAGAATATGGCCATGAGCAGAATGCTTGAGTTCATGATTTGGGGAAGTGGAACAGTTTCAGGTCTGGCACACCAGAAAATGGGTGATGGGCATGAGGACAAGGTTACTGAGATGACAAGCAACCTAGAAGCCAGGATGTTCAAAGAGTCATCAGTGCAGCCTCCGAAGCCTTCCTGGGTGGGCAGAGAAGGGCTTGGAGAGGAAGACTAAGCCAGTGACAACGGCCTGGGTGAATGAGTGGGACAGGGGGTCTTTGGTGGATGGGAAATTTCATGTCCTCAGATACTCTGGACATGAAAGAATAAGGAATCACATCCCTGTGGTTTGCAGGGAAATTAGGGTGCCCAAGAGCAACAAGTTCTCTTAGATCTGGAGGGAAAGGGAAGACTGTGAAAAGAGAGGCTTGCAGATCATGGTTGGCCCTGCCATTGGCTGAGTCTCCAGCCTGGACAGGACCCTATCCAGCCTACAGTGAGTGGAGGCACCCGGAGCACTTCGTCTGTGTCAGTTCTGTTCCTCCCAGTCAGTGAAGCAAGTGAAGTTGCATCGCAACTACCAGACAGTGCCTCTTTCATTCAAAGCCGCTTTTGAAACAACCCAACTCCAGTAACAAAGAAGGAATAGGGACCAACTCTTTCAAACTCTTTTTATTTTTTTTAGTATTTATTTTTTGTAGTTGTACACAATAACTTTTATTTATTTTTATGTGTGCTGAGGATCGAACCCAGGACCTTGTACATGCGAGGCGAGCGCTCTACCGCTGAGCTATAACCCCAGCCCCTCAAACTTTTTTCAGGGGATTTGCCCTACTTTTGAGTGTGGCAGGAATCAATCAGGGAGGTGTCATCTGTAACACAAGAAAAAAGACAAATTTGGTGACGTACTGGCTAGGACTCCCAGGACACCAGTTTTTCTATGTTCAGGGGTAAAGAAGGATGATGGGAAACAGCAGGGGCAGGAGACGGGATATGGGGTGTTCTCAGAAAGCCCTGCAACCATTTGCACTAAGGAGAAATTCTACTTCAGCTAACTGAGCACTAAGATGGTGAGGCACTCACCCCATAAAATCAGCCCCATATAGTGGGGGAGCTTGAGGAATGGCATCCTGTCCTCCTCTGGTTTCTGTAAGGAACCACCAACACAAAGCGGGCCTCAGAAGGAGAGGCAGGCCTTTGAGAACACATAGTCTTCCTGAGAGAAGGCCAAAACCCTAGGGCTCCCCAGAACTTGCTGGGAAGACCATGGAAAACTCGGGGGTGAAAATAAATCTCCAGGCCCACCTTGCTATGGATTCCCAACCTTGGGACAGCTGCCCCAACATCTGGATTACTAGGTGAAAGAGATGCCCCCTCATTTGTCCGTACCAGAGTTCTAGTGTACGAATCTTTTAAAAACCAATCTTCTTAACTAACCCAAAGTAAAAGCACTTGCCTTGTCCAGACAATCAAAATGCAAATCATTTCAGTTAGAAAATTCTGAAGGAGTCAGAACTTTGCACTAAACCATCACAAAACCATCAAGTGCTTTAAATGCATTCCAAAGAGAATACAAAATGTTTAAGTCATGCATGTCTATAATCCCAGCAACTTGGGAGGCTGAGGCAGGAGGATCACAGGTTCAAAGCTAGCTAGCAACTTAATGAAGCCCTAAGCAACTCAGTGAGACCCTGTCTCAAAATAAAAAATAAAAAGGGCTGGGGAATGGGAAATGTGACTCAGTGATTAAGCATCCCTGACTTCAATCCCTGGCACCAAAAAAAAAAAAAAAAAGAAAATACAAAATATGTTGTTTATACCTTTAGCCTCCACATGCAGCATGGTACTTGCTGGAAGTTCCAAACCCCTTGGCATCGCCAGCATTAGTAGCAGTATTTTAAACTGTTGGTTACCATGGAATATGTTTTCTTTTTCTCTTCAAGGTCATCAATCAGTAAATGTTTATTTAGCATGCATTATGTGGCAAGTGTAAGTAATCATAAACTTAGATATAGGATTATGTAAGTCATGTCTAAGATTTTGAAACTTGGAATGCATCTTATGGAAAGGATGCTTTGGGATATCCCACAAACAACCACTTAGCCCAAAACCTGGTGTACACAGAAATAGTGGACATTTGTAATCTTAAAATAGTAAAAAACTACTTCTTATATTCAATTATTACATTGTAATTAAAATGGACATTTTAAATTGAAGATTAAGTGGAAGTTTATCCTGAAAATTGCATTCGAGGAAAAGTGACTCTAAGGAAGGAAGTGAATGAGCAGCAGTATGTAGGCTCTGCAGGATGCTTTATGATGGATCTTCAGGAACTGGAATGGTCAAGGCCACTGGAGGTTTCTTCTTCCTTGATGCTGGTGTCTGTTCTGCTCTCATAACTCTGTAATTAGGGTTTTATTTTGATTCACCAATGCAATGGAGGAAGAAAAAGAAGGGGAAATGCTACTTCATGTAACTGAGAAAGAATTAGAAAAAAWCACAAGGATAAAGGAAGAGAGAGAGAGAGGGTATAGGTTCCCTAGACAGTAATTACCTTTGTGTGGCAAACTACCTGCTCTCCCTGGGCCTCAGCTTCACTCATACAATAGGAACACCAATCCTACCTCCATCCTGTGGATGTCTTAGGACTGAGTGAAGGATTACAAACACCTATCAATGCTCTCAGCAAGGGTCAGCATTATTGTTAATTATTTGCATCTTTATCGTTTTCTTTTCATACCAATTCTGTTGAGGACAAAGAGGAGCCATGTGTTCCTGGCACTAGGAGAGTTCCTTGGCCATCCCCTAGATCCTGCCGGTGGCCCAGGAAAGGGGCAGGTACAGGCACTTTGTAAGCTGCTGGATGTTCCCAGAGAGCTGATGCATTTGCTTATGGGCCAGAAGCCCCGGAGTGGAGAAGGGGAGTGAGGCAGGAGGCAGAGGGGCGACATGGGGAATGCAGCGAGGTGTCATGCCTACTGGGATATGTATGACCTCCTTCCACCCAGGATATGAGAAAGGTGGCAGGGCCATGGGAAAGCCATCCAAGTAACATCGGTGGTCACAAATGCACAGACGTTACAGGAGAAACCAGGACATTTTGGGTAAACTTAAGTTTCTCTGGTTGTTGTTGATTGGATTAATTATTTCCCTCCATTTTCTCCCCTTTATCCTATTTGATCTTCACCCCTTTCCCTTGTGTCTGTCTCTGCTTTTTATGTGAACAGTGTTAAATCATGTTTCCAAAACATGGAGATTTGCAAACGTCGGGTGAACATGTATGACACAGTGAACCAGAGCAAAACCCCTTTCATCACGCATGTGGCCCCCAGCACCTCTACCAACCTGACCATGACCTTCAACAACCAGCTGACCACTGTCCACAACCAGGTAAGCCCGGGTGCTGAGGGGAACCAGGCAGGCTGCCCGTGTGAGCAGCAAGACTGATTTCCCCACCAAACCCAGTCAGGGGACAGAATCCTTCTGCTGTCATTCACTCCTAAGGAAGTATTTGCTGCCATGGTGATTTCTTTTGAGAGACCCAGGCACTCTTTCTGTTGGCTCCTAGCCCCACTGAAGGGTCCCAGAAAGGACTCTCAGAGGGACTTCTAAGATAGCACCTCTTCCTGCTTTCCTTTGCCCCAGTGTGGGAACGGGGCAGGGAGCAGCCATGATCCTTTAATGCCTGACATCTGCCTGGTAGGAAATTCAAGAACCAGCAGGGACTCCGGCCCCTCCCTATCCCCACTCCCTTGGCTCCACATGATTTTGTTTTCAAGATAAAACCTGTTCTTTCTCCAAATGGGGAGGGGGGGGGCAGTGTAGTCTGTCACCAGGATTCCTGCAGCTGGAACTAAAAGGGACTGGAAAACTAAGGAAATTCCACAGATTTCCAACCTTTTGCCAATAATTGGCAGGATCCAGCAGCTTTGTAGAGTGCTTGAAACAGATGCCACTCAGGAAGGGTTATTAAAGGAATGAACTCCAGGTCCTGCTGCATCTAGAGTCTAGGACTCCTCTATTCCTATCTTCCAATCTTACCATTCCCTCAAAGAAGTGTCCCTAGATTTCTTACTGTCACTTTGTAATGACAATAATGTTTATGTGTATGTGGGTGTGCTTTCTCTCTCTCTCTCTCTCTCTCTCTCTCTCTCTCTCTCTCTCTCTCTCTCACGCGCACACACACACACACACACACACACACACAGTGGGAGGAGGTGTGTGTGTGGGGGGGGGGGATGTTCTACACCTGAGGAATAAATAGCTTCACCTGGCTGTCCACTCATTGGCAGGTCCCCTCCTGTCACTGAGGAGTCCCTGACCCCTTCTTTCAATCACTGCCCCAGCCCACCTGTTTCCCTGGGCCACTTGTGACTCATTGGCTTATGAAGCTTTCCTCCTCAGCCTGTCATGTCTCCCTCTGCCTAGACTATAGGAGGCCGCCTGGACTCTGCTGCCCCCTAGGGACCTTTAATGTTCAAAGCCCCCTCAGGGTGAAGAGCCGCAATCTTTAATGCTTAGAATCAAAGAAACTAACATTCCCACCTGGCCCAAGCCCCCGCTCTGAGGCGAAGGCATCCACAGTGATGTGAGCTTCTTGACAGAATATCACCATGGTTTTGTTCATCGCCTTCTTGAGACACCTGATCTTAACTCCCTGATCCCAAATTCCCTATTCCTCTCTGCCTTCTGTCTGCCCCATCCAACACCAAAGGCTGTAGGAGAGTGCAGGGGAGGGCCCTCAGGTACGTGCGCCGGGGAGAGCCTGCCCATCAGGCCACCCCTCCCTTGGGGATCTCTCCTCTGCTGTGGAACGGTGGTCCGTGGGTCCCTGAGCATACCAGGGAGCTCACGACATCTTCTCTGTGATATGACAGCAAGCATATCCTGCCAAAGAGTGTAACAAATATCACAAAACCAAAGTGATTTCTCATCAAAGAGGCAGTTATAGAATAAGAACATCCCCTCCTCTCCACAGCACTGAGATCTTTCAGGTCTAGTGGAGGCCTGGGGTGAAGTAGAAGAGGCTGGTAATGTAGTACAGGCCCAAAGCATCCAGTAAGGGGGCCCATACCCTACAAAAGGAAGGGGTCTGTGATCAGGATCTCCATCTTCTGGCATTGGATTCTACTATGCCCTATTTTTTAATACATCAGGAAAAAATTACTCAGCGCATACCTAGCCTTAGGCACGAAGGCCTGCTTTCCCTCCTCTAATATTAATGTTGTAAAATAATAGCATTACTAATAGTAAACATTTATAGAGCATTTATTATGTTCCCGACTCTTCTAAGCATGTCATAACTCAATCCTTTGAGCAACCGTGTGAGATCGATAGGTTTATCGTTCCCTCTTGAGAGGAGGAAACTGAGGCACAGAGCAATCTTCCCCTTATCCAAGGCTGCTTTCTTAGTTCACGCAATGTGGACTTGGAAACCAGCAGTCTGGCCTCAGAGGCTGTACTCTTGAAAATCATATGTACACAGAGCACTGCAGAGTCCCACTGAGGTCCTCAGTGCCTTTCCTAGGTGGCACCTGCTCTCTAAGTCTAACAAGACTCCCTTTGTCCATTAACGTTCCTGGTGATTTGCTTTCTACATGAATTCCTTTGAGTTTTTCTTCCAATTTAAATACTAAGAGGCAATAAAATATTTCCGTAATTTTGTCAGAAGTAGGATATTAAACTACGTAAAAGTTCCTTGTTCCCCTTAACATGCCCAGTAGACTAGTCAAAGGCCTTTTTCCCAAATGGTCACAAATCAGTGATCCTTTATGTCTCAAGGAATTGGCGTCACTAATCTGTAATCCTCAAGGAAGCTGACTTTCTAAAAATTAAAAAGGCTTCTTGACAAAATACTTCCTAAAACCATTAGGTTGCCCACAAGGAACATATTTAATAAAGARTCCTGTTTGGGGTATTTGTGGTGTAACCCTTTAGATTAGCCACTTCTTAACACTTCCCTGGTATTCTGTTCTTTGGACCTAGCCTTCTACCAAGTATTTTAATTTGGGTGTATAGGCCAAACTCAGACCCATTTGTTTTGTGCATTAGACCAGTTAAACATATACTGCTTCCAAGAATCACTTCTCCCATTTTTGAAAAGCCCATGTCACCAAAAACTTGCTTTTCCTTATTATTTTCCATTTGTTAGTCACAAGAGCTCTTGGTGGTCCTTTCTGTGCTCTTCTCAATCAGGCGATAGGTTAGTTCCCTTTATCGGAACCACTGAGGATACAGAATAGTGGAAAACATCATCCTCTGCAGCTTGCTTCTTCAGCTGATCCTTAAACAGGATTAGAAACTGAGGGAAACCTTCTGCATGCCTAATGGTCACAATGGGGACTGGAGCTCATGTCAGGATACAGATTCCACTTATTCTTCAATCTACAAAGAGCTGGAAGAGTCAACTGCTCAAGGATCCCATGGCTTGCATGACAAGACAAGCCATAAGCAAAAACAGACAAATCCAAATGCGAACTGGACACACGCAGGGCCAGGAAAAGCAAGATTGGTAGAATTGCAAGGAGGGAGAGACCGCTGTGGGCTGGAGAGACCCTCCTCCCAGGAAGCATCAGTCTGGAGACCAACTGTACTATCAGGCAGACTGACAGGAGCTGGGTGAGACCGCAACACTGCACTGTGTGAGAGCAAGGACAGGAGCGGCTTATCTCTGTTGACAGAGTTGAGAGGGTCCTAAAGTAGAGCACAGGCCCCAGGCTAGGCCCTGAGGTTCAGAGGCTTGGAGAGGCCCCTGTGGGCCCAAGTATTTGTGTGAGATGAAAGACCTGTGCTCACAGTAGGCTCGGAAACAAAGAGCAGACTAATCTGCCCTGTGCCCAGAGCATCTAGAGTAAAGAAAGAAAAATTCAGAAGGGAACAAGGAGTGCCAGGCTAGGGTCCATGGACTGTGTGTGTTGGGCAATCTTGGGGAATTTATGAGCAGGGGCACTGACATGCACAGGGGAGTCTTGGAAAGAACCATCTACTGTGTACCCAAGCATTGGAAGAGAAGATGTAGAGCCCAGGACATCTTCCATTAGAGCCCGATAGGTCCCAGGCACCAGAAAGAAGCAACTGAAAAGAGTTCGTGGGTTCCAGGGACATTGAGAAGACAGAAGCAGCACTGACCAGAGGGTGAGGTAGCTCACATGAGCTTGGAAACCTGCAGGACGTTTGTGCTAGGGCCCCAAGCAGGGAGACGCTTAGGGACTAAAGCTGAGGAGAAGCCAGGTGTCACAGACAGTGGGAAAGTGTATGTGGGGAAGCTACCACCTCAGGGGAGAGGGTGGTGTGAGGAGGACAAAGAGGAAACACAGATCAAGTCCTCAGTAACAGGACATAAACGCTGACCCACATGTGCGCACATGTGTCCAGTCACACTGTGTGGAGATAGGCCATGTGGTACTGCAAACGTGTGAGTGTTTTAAAATATGTACCCTGGAATCCAGGTATGCATGCCACAGAAGTTAGTGATTATTTGCAAGCAAATTAATTTGCTTTGCACTAATATTTCAGCACAAAATCTAAATATAAGCTGGATACAGTGGCACACGCCTATAATTCCAGCAGCTCAGGAGGCTGAGGCAGGAGCATCATGAGTTCAAAGCCAGCCTCAGCAACTTAGTGAGGCTCTAAGTAACTCAGTGAGACCCTGACTCTAAATAAAAATATTTTAAAAGGTCTGGGGATGTGGTCAGTGGTTAAGCACCCCTGGATTCAGTTCCTGGTACAAAAAAAAATTATATATATATACATATATATAAAACATGTAAAATGAGACTTGTTCTTTTTTTATCAAATTTGACATATATACATATTCCACTTGAAATGGTCTTTGTGTATTGTGTGTCCAAGATATCCTTCTGGCTCTTTTGCTCTTTATTCCTTAGTCCTTGAACCTTCTAGAAAATCTCCTGTAGACAATGTTGAACCTGAAGTCATTAGCAACCTCTCCCTCTTGCTGAAGGATCAGTGTGACGACGCTAAGAAGGGGGAAAGCTGGAAAATTCCCAGTTTAGAATTTGTTTTCCTCTGTAGCCGTGCCTCTCAGAGAAGTTCACTCTCTAATGATATCTCTTTCTGAAAGAAAGGAGGGGACGTCATTGCAATGGCTTGCCCTTGTCAATTTCCTCCATTTAAATTCTCTGGACTCACCAGCCTCTGCCTCCAGCTGTGGTTATTACTACAGCACCAGCCTAAGTGCATGGAGCTCAGACAAGAGAGCCAGCCTTGCATCCTGCTCCCCTGCGCAGGGCCCCGCTCTGGCTTACCTTTGGGTGTGCGGGCTTCCACGCTAAGACCCAGCGTCTTTAGGGCCTAGAGGAGCCTCTAGAGGACTACACCAGCAGGCCCAAGGGAAGGGGATGTGAGCAGAGCTTAGACGTATGGACTGGAGGACAGCACATGCTCACACAGCCCCTCAAGTTGGTGGGACCCAACTTACGCAGGAGAAGGAAAACAGGGTTCTGCTCGCTGCCAGCCCCACCCCATCACCATGTTTCAGTGCAGAATTCAAGGAATCCAAAAACCCTCAATTCAAACCTGGTCACCCAGATTACTAGGAAGGTGTATTTGTCCCAGCAGAAGGGCAGACATGTTACCACAGTTTTCCAGCCTGGCTTTGAACTTCTCAGTTCTTAGATAGCAATGCACCGTTGTTCATTTGTACCCATGCCTGGGCCCCACAGATGGTGATCAATCGAGGCAGGGTATGTCTCCTGTGGCTTCAGGTGCCTGTCTTTCTGCTCCTCTCCACCTTTTGCTTTTTTTGCTCTTGGTTTTTGTCGGTTTGTCTTCCTTGAGTTCATTTATTTGATTTAGACTCGCGTCTCCCAACATACCACCTCCCTCATTTTTTATTTGTGTTTATTTTTGTTTAATCCCCATCATTCCTTTAGGCTCCCACCTCCACCAGTGCCACTATTTCCTTAGCCAATCCCGAAGTCTCCATACTAAACTACCAATCTACACTCTACCAGCCCTCAGCGGCATCCATGGCTGCAGTGGCCCAGCGGAGCATGCCCCTGCAGACGGGAACAGCCCAGATTTGTGCCCGGCCTGACCCCTTCCAGCAAGCTCTCATCGTGTGTCCTCCTGGCTTCCAAGGTGAGGATGGCCGAGCCAGCCCCTCCTCTGCTTCTTGCAGGACCACCTCTAGGGCCTGACACCTGCAGTTTTCTGGCAGCTCACTTTCATGGAAGAAAGCCCTCTTGGTTTCTTTCAGTGAGAGCTCTGGTATCACTGAGCTTGGGGGCTCCTATCCTACTGTGACCAACCTAGAAACAATAGGACTTGGGCTTCTGCACCAAGTCAGTTTGTTGTTATTCTCACCACCTGCCAGGGATTGTGTCCCTGGCCAGCTGCCTGTAAATAAGCACATTGTCTGTGCTCCCATTGTCATGCTGATGTCAGCTCCTGCTTCCCTCACATGAAATACTCTCTGTGTGCTTTACTATAGAAAATTGCCAGTCTCTCTGACAGCCAACAGAGTCCCAGTTCACATGGAGAATATAAATCTGAAAAACACTGAACAGTACCTCCTGGGGCTGCCTCCCCCAAATCATCCTTTGGCCACAAACCCAGTACTCTTCTGTAGACTCTCCAAGCTAGAGGTGACTGTGTACCTTGTCACAATTTACACGGGAATTACAAATTTTATTCTTGCAAAGCCCACAGTAAGCATGTGTGTGGTTGTTTAGGTTTGGTCAATGTAATTCCAAAACAGATTCATCCATTCTCTCTCTGACCCCTTTGCAGTGACCTACACAGGCATATCTTGATTGTCAGAAGCTCTTATTGTCCTGTTGTAATTTGTCAACATAACTGTCCACCTCTTGAGTACAGAATTTAATTGACCTTCTAGTCTTTTGAAAACATTTGAGATTACAGGAGGAGTTTTTATTTTTTAAATTCAAGTAGAAACTAAAGGGGAAACTTCCAAAGAGCCAGGCAGCACCTGGTTGATGGGTTGGGACTTGGAGATAAAAGATGACACAGTTGGCTATGTCATCCACTGTTTCCTGTCAACTAACTCCTCTCTCCCTCACCCACTGTCTGTAATAGGCTTGCAGGCTTCCCCCTCGAAGCACGCTGGCTACTCAGTGCGAATGGAAAATGCGGTGCCTATTGTCACTCAAGCCCCAGGAGCTCAGCCTCTTCAGATCCAACCAGGTCTGCTTGCCCAGGTAATCCTTTCTCCTGCTCCCTGCCAGCCCCATATTATTACCCATATTACCATTCTCCATATTACTGTTGTTCACAAAAGAGGTGTATCTCCACTAACTCCCTCTCTGGTAATGAGGTAGGTGTTTCCAGTCACAGGAATATATCTATAATGTTCTAAATGATCCCCAAGTGAATTACCTTCCTAACTATCTGCTTACAATTCTAAGAAGAAATGTAGATACAGAGAGTCTAGGGAAATCATTATTGTATCTTTGAAATGCAAATTAATCTGGGAGACCTAGGTTTTAATCCTAAATCTGCTAGTAACTCTCATGACCTAAGGCAAGTCAGTTAACATCTCTTTGCCTCAAATCTCTTTCTTGTAAAATAGAAATGAATTTTTTTTTGAGCCAAAAAAGAGCCCTAGAGATTATTCCCTCATTTTATAGTTGAGGAAGAAATTCACAGAAGCTGTTAGCTGGAACCTTCCTCATCTATCCATAGAGGTACTCTAATGAACGAGACCACAGAAATGAAAAATGGTTGAAAATTTATAAAGCATTATAAAAATTTAAGATAACAGTAGTGATGCAGTCATAACAGTAATCAATTCTTAGTGACTCTTGAACCCTAACAATGACTGTATCCTCATTATGCCAGGCACTTTACAGGTGCAAATTTATGTAATCCCACAACAATACAATAAGGCATTTGTCTCCATTGGACAAATAGAGATGCTGTCTATCCAATAACTAAGTAATAACTGTCTTAAAGTCACACAGCAACAAGATGACAATGAGAACATAAACCCAAGAGGTCTCCTGCTAACATCTGTTTTTTAACCACTGTGCTATACTACTTCTGTATAATCATTTTACTGTTGTCAAGAGCAGTTTGACCTAAATGTTGTTTAGAAGCACCTTTATTTTTAAATAAGGTAGATTCCCAAATGCTTTTCCCAAAGTGTATCCAAAGATACTTTACTTATGCTGTCCTGTTAGAAGTTGGTTTTGGGTTTGATTTTGTTGTTTTAAGTTTTAAGTAGTCAAATTACATAGGTCTGTTCTGGATTTTCTTATAGTCCACTGGCTTCTCTAATATTCTGTTGTCTTAATCATTATAACTTTAATATATGTCTTGGTATCTGGTATAGAAAGCTTTGTCCCCAAATAGTTCTTCAAAATTTCCTTGGTTATTCTTATCTCTTTTCCATAGAATTCTAACATCACTCTTCCACAGAATGTTAGCTTCAGGAAAAAAAAAAAAACTGAATTTATATTTATTGATTGCATTGAATTTATATTTACTTTAAGAACCACTGATATCTTTTTATAATATCATTTTATCCATGAACATGGTATAACTCTATTATTGTTAATAAAGTTTTTCCTTGTAGGAATAATTCCTAAGTATTTTGCAATTTTTGTTGCCATTAATTTTATTAATCAGATTTTTTATTTTTGGTTTATAGAAATATAAATGGTTTTGGTCTGTTGAGTTTACATCAATCCTGCTTCTGTGTAAAAGATACTGTTTTGTTCTTGTTTTTCAGTCCTACAACTTTTTATTTATTGTTTATCTATCACTGGGATGAACAGGGCCTCCAAAACCATGTTTAAACTTCTATCAAACTTAAAGAAAATTCTTCTATTTCCCCTTAGATAGTTTATTTAGTACAAATATTTGATGGAGACACTTTATCTTATTTAAATTTTTTAATGAATATTGAATTGTATCAAATATTCTTTTTGTCTCCATTAGAATAGTCATGTGATCTTTCTTCCCTAATCTGTTAATTTAAAAGTTACAATAATAGATTTTGAAATGCTAAGTTGTTCTTTTATATGTGAGATAAACTTTATTTGATCATGTTGTGGTTGACATGGTGCAACAGTTTTTGATACTGGATTCTGGTTTTGTAGTTAGTATTTCTGTATCTGTGTTCTTAAATTAGGAATGGCATATAATTTCACTACCTTATAGAATCCTTATCTGATTTGAGTACAAGATTATATTGGATCTTACTACCTCTTCTGTTTCCTGGAACAGTTTAGTTAAGATTGATATTAACTATTCTTTGTCTCCTTATTCTTATGTCCATATTGAAACTGTGCAAGTGACCCCTAATACCAATTGGTGGCACACAAAATACTTTCTTGTTGAAGGGTTATCAAAAGAGAACATTACATATTTACAGCAGGCCTATACTTTGCTTCTCACCAGTCTTTGTAGCTTCTTTTTGTTTCCATAGTTCATTGATGGGGATTTCAGAAAAGGCCGAGATAGATCAAGGGAAAGAATTACAGCTTAGTTCAGGGGCAAAGAAGCTTGTTTATACTTCATCTGAGTGGCAAAAGTCCAAACAGTGTTCTAGTGCTCCTCTTCTTTGAGTCAAAATCTAAAGATTTCATTTGTATTTAGAGGGTAATTTTAGACCCTTTTGTGTTTGCACACTTAACTCAAGGAAGCCAGGAACTGTCTCTGAAAATAAATAAATAAATAAATAAATAAATAGCATCTCTTCTTAGCTAAAATAGATATTCTGCATTGTTCAGTCTGGTGGAACCCATAGGCTAAGCACTTCTGAATTTGTTTCAGTCCTTTAGTCATAGTAGGATAGAACTTTACCTTATGGTTACTTGAAAAAAAGTCTCTAGAGTGTTGTAAAGTTGATTTAACCCGAATCTATAATTGGGAAAATGAACAATGTTTGTACAAGTGTTTTAATTCCTATAGTTTTATAAGAGGGAACTGTTGGAAGCAAGCTGATTATTCACCAGTAGGGAATTTGTTAAATCAATACATGAATGCATAAAATGGAACACCATGTAGCCATTTAAAGGATATGGTAGACCTATGTGTCTTGACATGTAAAGCCTTCTAAGATATATTAAGATTAAAAACAAAACAAAACAAAAAAAAAAAAAAAAAACCTGCCCTACCCAGTATCACACTGTGTCTTTTTGTTTGTTGTGACTTTTTCTATTTCTCTCTGCTTATCACTTAATTCATGCCAATATATTAGCCTGTTAAGATGGGGGTTCTCTCCTAGATATTTTTAAAAGATCTTTTCAAAGGACAAAAATAATAACTTGCAAAACTAGTATGGTGGCTATTTTTTAAAGCAATAATTAAACATTTAAATTGAAGTCTTCATTTTTCTATAAGTAAATTTCTAGGTATCAAGCAGAAATACTATTATTTTTATAATATATATTCAAACACTAGTATTTGCTTTCAATATGTCCAAAAAGTTGGCAAAACCTTTCAAGTACTTGATTTGTGAAGGTTTAGAGATGGAATCTTTGAATCTATTCCTCATGTTAATTTCATTTTCTTTGCTCTTTTCCTCCCCATACCACATCCTTATAAGGAAACAAGCCTCTGTAGGATACTTTGAGGTTATGTGCATGGCAGGAGGGGATGGTGATCCCACCCTCTCATGTCAGTGACATAGGAGTGATCTTTATGGATCCACCCCCCCACAGAGAAAACTTTTAAAATACTTTCTAAAAGGAGCTGTTCCCTCTTTCTTCTCAGGTCCTGAGCCACAGTTAGCATTTTGACCATCAACAGAAATTTTGAATGAGCAAGTAAAGGTGAAAAGATAGAAAGGAGACTGTTTAGATGGAGAAAATATTGAATTCATCTTACTTGTCAAGTAGTAGGATCTAAAACCCCCTTTGACTAGCATGGTTGTATCAAAAATTCCGAAATGCCAGATCCTTATAGACTCCACCATTCCATGTAGAAATGTTTTGCATTCTTTCAACTGAGTCATATCACCTAAATGCCTTTAAATGTTTTCCTAAGGACAAGATATTAGCTTGAACTATGTAAACTGTCCAAAATATCAAACTTCAATGCTCCTCACTTAAAATCTCTACTGATAAAATTTTCAGCAACCAATCTGTCCAATCATTGTCTTGCTATCTGCTTCTGTCTTGCTGGGCGCTGAATAAGGAAGACTTGTTTGTGCCACATTTATGCAGTTACCACCAATGCCTAATCCCAATAGGGGCCATCGTTTTTTGTGTTACCTCCATAAATGAAGATAGGATATTGGCTGACAGCATGGAAATTAAGATAGCTCACATTAAGATGTCACACCTACCACTTACTGGCTGTGTGACTTTGGGGAAGTTTTTGTTTTTGTGGTATTTGTTATTGAACAAATTTGTTGTTGTTGGCGGTGGTGGTGGTGATGGTACCAGAAATTGAACTCGGAGGTGCTTAATGACTGAGCCACATCCCCAGCCCTTTTATTTTTTATTTTAAGATAGGGTCACACTAAGTTGCTTAGCACCTCACTAAGTTGCTGAGGCTGGCTTTGAATTTGCCATCCTCCTACCTCAGCCTCCTGTGTAGCCAGGATTACAGGCATGTTCCACAATGCCTGGCTCATTGTTTTATTTGTTTGCAATACTGGGGATTGAGGGCTGGGATTGTGGGTCAGCAGTAGAGTGCTTGCCTAGCACGGGCGGGACCCGGGTTCTATCCTYAGCACCACATAAAAATAAATAAATAAATTAAATAAGGATATTGTGCCCAACTACAACTAAATAAATAAATAAATAAATTTTTTTTTTTTAAATACTGGGGATTGAAACCCAGGTTTTGGGCATGCTAGACAAATACTCCACCACTAACCTACATGTCTAGCCTATGGAAGTTACTTTTGAAATTTAAATGTTATCCTTTTCAAACTAATACAGACATATAATTTTTTAAAGCTAAATGATACCACAAACGTATAAGAAAATATAATTCCCTGCTTCATCCTTTAACTTTTCTCCAAACAATTATTTTTAATTTGACTATTCAATCTTACTTTTAACTCCCTGTTTCTAAATAGCATTCTAGACCTCTTTTTATTGATTTTTTTCCATTTTCTTTATGATCAGTTGATTTCCCATAATGAAAGTTGAAGGCTTAGCTCTCTAACATACCCCTCCTCACAACACAGTCTTTTTCACTCCCTTGTTCTCTTTCACTCACTTTCCTTTCTCCCATTCACCCCATATGATTTTTAATTCAACTACTCTGTAATACATTGTTCGTAAAGTTATTATCAGTAAATATTACTCTCAGCTGAGCTTCATAATATACTGTGATTATATTTCCTTTCTTGTATAACTTCTTGTTTTCCCCAAGTTAATAGGTTCCTCATTTTTTTACTGGGTTGGTTTTCTATATATCTTTTATTATGCAATCCCAAATCTTTCTAGAGCTATGAAAGGTTTATGTGTTTAAAGTGTTATATTTGAGCATGAGTTCAGTGACTATTATTTCTCTCTCTCTGAAACCTTTTAAGACTTTCTCTTTGTCCACAGTGGTCTCAAATTTCATGATTTCAAACCCAGAGCTTCATACATGCTAAGCAAGCATTCTACCACCTACCTTCATACCCAACCACATATTTGCCCATTTAATTGGAACTCTTTTTATTTTTTTCTTTAATAATTTTTTTCTGTTTTTTGGTTTTTCTTGGTAGACATCTTAAGACTTGGTTATTGGAACTTATAAATTGATCTTCCAATTTTCTTCCCCCCACCCCATTTTCTATATATTTCCTGTCTGTACTTTCTGAGAAATTTCCTTGAAGTGTTCATTTTGTCATAGTTCTCATTTCTAAGAGTGCTCTCTTGTTCACTGAATATAGCTATTGGTATATAAATATATATTTCACTATATGATCTTACTTTGGGATTTTTTTAACTCGGTATGAACATTAATTACAAGTCTTTGGAAATTCTCTTCTGATTTCTACGTTGTGTTTCTTCTTCCCAGCTTCTTTTTTGTTTATCTTAGACTCTTTAATGCTGGAAGCTTCCTTTAATGTCTGGTCATCCTTGGCTGTTGATGCATATGTAAGACCAAAGCTCTTAAAATTCCCTCCAAAAGCTGGCAGATGAGGGGAGGACCATTGAATGTGGCCTTCTCTTTAGGCAGATAAGGGACAAGCCCAGAATGTTCACTGCAGACCTCAGATCCTGAAATGTTGTATCTGTAACTCTTTTCTTTTGTAGTTCTTTTCCGTTTCACTAGAGAGAATCATCCAGCTCCAACTTTGGGGGAGGTATAAGCCTGCACACCAGGGATCTGGGAACTGAGGGTTTAACATGCAGCTTCCCTTAGACTCCTTCTGTCTGCTCACTCACCTGGTAATTGTCCATCATTATCCTGCTCCTTAAATTTTGTTAAATGTTATTGTCTCTCACCTATTTTCTTGCTCTTATGAATCCAAATTTTTTTATTCCCTCAAAATCATTTTAGTTGGGTTTATTAAGAACAATAAACATATATGTTTAATGTACCAAGTTTCTGGGCAAGTTTAACTTCTCTGTTTATTCATCTGAGAAATGGAAGGAAACAATAGCATCCCCTCACACAATTGGTGTTAAGAAGTCAAAAAATCTATTTAGGACTTAACTCTGTGCTTGGCACACAATAAGAAATATTAGCTCTGTTCTTAGTAGTAATAATAAATCATAGAACTGTCTATGCAAGGTCATCTGAAATGAGTTGAGTGTATCAATCAGTTTGAAAGATCAAAAATGGCCTTTTGTACCATCTCTTTGAGGTAAAATGTTAATATCCATTTCAAGGAAGTTTTAAAAATGATGGTCTGAGCTTTATATCAAGATATTTTTAATGATGTTAATCAAAACTCATGCTTTTCGTGAGATCTGAAATAAGTTCCAGATGACTAAGCAGTAAAAATCTTACTGCCAATGAAATTGTTATTTACTTAATATTTTGAGTTGACAACTGTTTTAACCAATTTATTTTTCTTCTTATGAGGCATTTGGTAAACCTGAAATAATACTAATTATAGAAAACAGACTTGGTAGAGTTGATTCTTTATTTATCAAGAATATTTATTAAGCACCTATGTATTACCCATGGCCTCTAAGCATTCTTCCTATAGCAAAACAGATCAGTAAGCAAACAGGCAATATCAAAAAGTAGAAGTGATCTCACAGACTTCATTGGCAACATGACAGTTGCCAGACAGATGACAGAACAGAGAAGCAGGACAGCTCTAAAACGTGGCTATGTCATTTTTATAAACAGCACTATTTTTTAAGCCTTGCCTCAAAATGCCATCCATTTCCAGAAGTGTTTGTCTGTATATGTGAGTCAAAACACGTGTTAAACACCTGCCCAGTGTGTGGAGCACTATATTAGCTGAATTACCCGATGTTGATCATGTCCAGCCAAGTGGAGAGAGAGATATAACTAAGATATCAAAAACTTAAATCCCTGACCTGCCCAAGAGGTATTTTACCTTAGTGATAGCCCTTTATGAGCCCAACTTTAAATTCCACTTTCAGTCTGAATTATTTAGTGACCAAAGGCAAGAATAGAGATGAAGAATATGAAGAGCTTAAAATACAACATTCAAGAAAGAACCACAAAAGTCTATTTTAGATTTCTTAGGAAAATCTTAGTCTTTTGAAGATGGAAGCAATGACTTCCTAACAACCTCTCATTTTTGCTTTGAGGAGCTAAGGTGATTCTCAATTAGGCTGAAGGTTCCAGATAAGAAAGTCACTTCAAAAGCTGGCAGATGAGGGGAGGACTACTGAATGCTTGATCCAAGGTGTAGGCCAGCACCAAATACTCATTCATCTCAGGGTTTTGTAAACTTAGATTCAGAAGATAGCATAAGTTAGACCTGTAGGTACTAAATAATCAACAAAAGGTAAAGTATCAAATCAAGTACACTAAATAGAAAGCTCCCTAAGGGCAAGGAGTCACCCAGCTCAATTCCCTCAATCACTTGCATGTAGCTCTGTGGCAGAACAAGTCAATAAATGACTTTTAGAAACTTTGAGCATAGCTCATTAGAGCAAATTCCCAAATCATTCTTCAACATGAATGAATCCCTTCCATTTAACTTTGTGTCCCTGTACTTATCTTCTATTAGTTCATATGTGTTAGTATTGCTTCCTGTTAACATAGTTTTTGAAGCCAGAGACTACTTTCACACCCTTCACAGGGTCTAGCACCACTCCTGGCACAGTATAAGTTAATTATGTGATTAACAAATGTGGTGACTGCAAATGTCCTCTGTCCCACAGCAGGCCTGGCCGAGTGGGACCCAACAGATCCTGCTTCCTTCAGCATGGCAGCAGCTGACTGGAGTGGCCACCCACACATCAGTGCAGCATGCGACTGTGATTCCCGAGACCATGGCAGGCACCCAGCAGTTGGCCGACTGGAGGTAAGCAGGAAACTTCAAGAGTGAGCGGTGTGTCTGGGATGGGAGGCATGTCCACCACGACGCAGAGATTACAGGACTATGACTACACTGTAATGGTTATTTTTAAATAAAGCACCAGGATCTAAGAAAATCAGATTATTAACTTATGATTATCTGTCATTTTTCTACCCAAAATTAAGCTGCATCATTCAATCATCAGTGTTATTCACCAGACTCAGCTCTGCATGATTTTTGGTTTTTCTCAGAATTAAATTCCACTTTCAGAAAAGACGGGTTTGTCACCAGTTAAAGAAAGCAGTAGAGAGTCCCCAAAGCCCTAAGCAATTCTAGAAAGTGTTCTCAGGATGTTTGGAGACATAAGCACCCTGGAGTCTATCTGACTTCCCCAGGGAAGGTTTGACAGATAGGATTTGTTGGAATGGCAAACTCTGGCATGTTTGTTGAGTGTGCTTCTCCAGTTACTAGTCGTGTCACACATTCCACTTCCCATAGACCCTAAAGACATCCAGGTGACCATCTGCCTGCACACCACACCCCTGTGAATTTCCTGAACTCCACCCATCCAAACACTGACTTCCTCATGGACATGCTGCACTGTGGTTTTCATGGCCACTTCCAAGTTGTTCCCAACTCCTCACGACCCTTCTGGGCTGTCTCTCCTTCAGCATAAACACCAGGGCTGGTCACTCCCCTCAACCCTCTTGAGAGTCTCCATCCCACCTTGAAGTTACCCATAATTCCTTTTCTGACCTAAAAGAACATTTCTGATAGAGAGCTCTCTGGAAGAGGCTGACAGGTAGAGCTATAAGCGCCTGGTCAAGTCTCTATTACAGCTTCCTCCACTCTCCCTATAACTGACTAGTACAAAGAAGTGAGTGCACAGGCTGTCCCCACAGTCCCTCTCACTCCCCACACCTACCTGCATTCATTGGAATCACTTTCAACATCAGGTATAACAGACTTCCATTCTGGCTTTCTGGGACCAGGGCATGTTATTTAACCTTTATGAGCCTTGATTTCTCCTTCAGCAAAGTGGGGATAATGAGGCTTATGTCATAGGATTGTTGAATGGTTTAAATTAAGACAAAACACAAAGCACTTGGCCTGTATTTAACATGCACCACAGCAGTGCCTGAACATGACAGTCAATAAATAAGGCTGTCATCTTCTTTTTGCCCATTCACAGCAGTTCATGCTCAGCAAGACTGCTTTTCTTCCTCTAGCTCATTAGGAACAGCAACCAAGTGGAAAGCTGTCTGACCAATTGTTGTCCCCCCCCCACCACCCCTTTTTCTCCTAAAAGACCACACACATGCCATACTCCTTTACTCCTTTGTCTTTCAGCATTTATAGCTCATTTAATTTCAGCAATATCATGCACTTATTCATGCATATTTTCTTAGCCCCACTCTCTTCTCTTTTCCATCTCTTAACCTAGCAATCACCAACAACATCCATAAGCAATGCACTTTCTTCCATTCTCTCCCACTTTACATGTGGACCAAAGAACATCTGTGATCTTGACTAATAAACAAAAGAGCAGTACTAATGCTGGACTCCTTTCAAAGGAAAAGAACACCACATTTCTGTAGGGAAAGAGCAACGACAAAATAAAGAAGCCATAACATCAGTTTCTGAAGTCCATATAAATGCCTAAGAGTATMAAAATTTCTACAAAAGTGTTCATCTGCTCCTTTTTTTTTTCCTGTTCATCCTTTTCCCCCAAGTAGCAAAGGTAGAATTTGATTATTTTTAAAAAGTCAAGTGAATTCTTTGTASCTTTTAATTATCTTATGTGTCAAGTAGACTTTCATGGGGAAATTTTTGAGTTAATCATCACTTTTAACATTTCTGTGGGGAAATAAGGTGCTGATCTCCATACAACTCAAATAATAAGAACTTTGAAATGTAACCCATTTTCAGGATGCAGGCTGCCAGTATTCCTATCAATATGTGTCTGACTGCTTTTAATTTTTATTTAATACCAAACTCTATACACGTCCAGTCAACCTTCCGTAAATCTAATTGTTCATTCTGCAAGCGTGTAATTAACTGATCAGCTGCTATAGGCCTGTGCATTGTACGGGCCACTGAGGGAATTCCAAAGAACATTAACACTCACTAATGCCAGGAGAACGTGAGTCCCAGTCTTCAAAGTTTGTTTTTCGCATTAACTACAATTTCCTCATTAATAAAATGGTATTACCACAACCTCCTGTCTACCTCACAGAGTGGAATGAAAGAATCCACTGAAGGCACTCTATAAATYCAAAAATAAAACACACATTATTGTTCAGCATAATCACCTGTTCACTTAAAAGTTAGAGGGCATACTTAAGTCCCCAGCACTTGGAAGCACAGCCTGCACACTTGGCCTTCTTCCCACTTAAGTCCTGGTTCTCGCCAACCCGTCAGGTTCCTCCCGCCCCTTCAATGGGACGTGGTCGTCGGCTTTTTTTTTTTTTTTTCCTTGTACCAGGGACTGAACCCAGGGGCTCTTAACCACTGAGCCACATCCCCAGCCATGGTCAGCTTTCAGTTAAAAGGTAACTTCATCCTGTAAAGGCACTGCTTCCATAAAAACCACCTCCTTTTCCTTTTCAGGAACACGCATGCGCACGGCAGCCATTACAATCCCATCATGCAGCAGCCCGCGCTATTGACTGGTCATGTGACCCTCCCAGCCGCCCAGCCCTTAAATGTGGGTGTGGCCCACGTGATGCGGCAGCAGCCAACCAGCACCACCTCCTCTCGGAAGAGTAAGCAGCACCAGTCATCTGTGAGGTAGGTGGTGAGAGCGGCCTGGGAGGTCCCGCCCTGGAGGTCTTGATGCTGAGAGCCACGCTACGGACAGGGTGGGTGTCAGCATGCTGGCACTGGAGGGAACAGCTCCTCCGGCAGGAGCCCCAGAACATGTATGGCCTGGCCTAGATGGCGCAGTCAGCACTCACTGTCACTCTGTGTGAGTGCAGCCTGCTCTCTAGTAAAGCCCTGTGGCACCCTGAGGGTGGAGGCCCAGAATCACAGCACGTTCAGCACCTTAGGTGCTTTAGCCCCTTTTGTTCAGGGGGAATAGAAAATTATTCACTGATACTTGTTAAAGTGCTGGAAGGAAGATTTTATTCAGTACCATGGAAATATTACCAGGAATGCTGAACTAGGATCTTGCAGTTGGGGAGAGATTGGGCTGAGCTCTGCATACAGCATGGACAAGTGGGACTAAATAGCCAAGGAATAGTGTTGGGGTCAGAGGATTGAAAATTACTAAGAGGAAACATGAGGCTTAAGGGTTATTCTAGCTAAACCAACTGAAGGCAGGCCAAGGTAATTGGAATCACCTGGGGAACAGTGAAGGGTAGGGAACCTTGATCAGATATCAAGGATGACAGGCTCTGTCTAAACTGAATTAGCAAGGCTGTTTTCTAAGACTGGATTTTACAAGAAATACACAAGTGGGCCTAGGAGAAGGTTCATAGCCTGACTAAAGTTTGGCCAAGGAGAAAGTTTTTGTTACTTCTTCTCTCGAAAACAGCTTTGCCTCTGAAATTTCACTTTGGAAATCATTTAGGATAACTTTTTCAAAAATACTAGAGTTTGATCCTAACACTCCACAATAGAACTAGGGATGTAGCTCAAGGTAAAACATTTGCCTACAACGTATAGAGTGCAATCCCTAGAACTGAAAAAAAGAAAAAAAACTTAAAGGATATATAACAATGAATCAAGATTTTATAATGTTGGATTGTCCTGGCATGAGTATTGCCTGCAAGTCTATGCATGCTTGAAATATTTTGCTATTTTAAGTGAACAGGAACCAAAAACAAAAAGCAAAAATCCTAGAGGATGTACTTTCTTTGAAATTTGAGGTCAGAAATTTTAATTCATTTAGCTGCTTCCTTAACTACAAACAATTAACTGTGGTTGATCCCATACACTAACAACACGACACTAATCTTTCCCATTCCCTTTAACTCTAGTCTCATCTCAGTGAACTCCTGAACAATCCAGCTGGAGGAACAGTTACATGCTATGTGATTAGGAGTTGCCAGAGACTGTGGGATAGGAGGGGATTGCCTAGGAAGGAGCATGAGGGGACTTTTCAGTGTTGAAAAAGTTCCATGTCTGGATTGTGGTTGGGGTTCATAAATGTACGTTTGTCAAAACTCATCAAACTCTTCAGAAGCAGGAATTTTACGTATGTCAACTATACCTCAGTGAACTTTTAAAATATAGAGATTTCCAAGCCCCACCCTCAAAAAAAAAATCCTGTAACCAAATAGATCCAGATCATGCAACCACAGAATTGTTCCTACATTTCTTCCTAATGGCACCAACTTAGAGGTACGTGGTTGCTTATTTGGAAAAGTCCAGTATACACAAGGTTTAGTGCATTTTGGTTTTCTGCTTCCTCATATAATTAAGCACCAGAAACTAGTCCTGCCTCCTTTCATTCTTAAAAATCAATCCAAAAGTTAACTTCCTACAAGTTGTTGTCCTTCTTCAAGAGTCCTTATTTGGGTGTATCTGACAACTCCGGGAAAATCAAATCAGTGGCAGGCCTCCAGAGTGCTTCTGTCTGGCAGCCCTGTGACAGCATACCCATGTCATTATTAGACTCAGCATCCACAAAAGCCATCTTGATCCTCAAGCACTATCATGGCCAGCCACTCATGCAGTCACACAGAGTGCTGGTCTGACCCAGGACTGTATATGCATCCTTGTGGCTCACCTTGGCCAAATAGGGGCAGTAAGAACCCTTGTCCTCATCACCTATTTAGCAAGTCCCTCCCTATCCTCTCACTGTCTGGCTGGCCTCCTGAAAGTTCACTGCCTATACACTTCAAGATCAATGCAATTATAGTCCAAGCTATGTATTTGCTTATTTTTAAGTCCAATACCTTAGACAAAACAAGTCTGAGAGAGCAGAAAGAAGTCAGTGTGTCTGTCTGTCTCTCTCTCTCTCTCTTTCTCTCTCTCTCTCATCAGATAGTATGGCCAGGCCCCTACTTTTCTTTTCTTTAATATTTTATTTTTTAGTTGTATTTGGACACAGTACCTTTATTTTATTTATTTATTTTTATGTGGTGCTGAGGATCAAACCCAGGGCCTCGCACATACATGCCAGGCAAGAGCTCTGCCACTGAGCCTCAACTCCAGCCCCGCCTGCTTTTCTTTAACACTGCTAAGTAGAGGTACTGCAGCTGATAGAATAACAAAAAATTTAATCTCAAAATCATATATTAGCAATAACAAACACATAGGCTTTTGATAAGTAAAAACACTGAAACAGTCTTATTAGTAAAACTTATTACCAGCCCCTGAAAAGGAATAAGCAATGTAGTTAAAACTGGCTAGATAAAAAATTAAATAAGTCTATCTTTACTATTTTAATTTTACTGCCATTCCTTTAGCTAGAAGATCCTCTAAGGACATAAGGCCTAAGATTTATTATACATTGGCTTTGGTCTCTCACTAGTAGATACTACTAGGATCAGCAAAGGTTAGATGGGGAGGGAAAAAGGTATCTTTTCCCTGAAGTTACCAGAAACTACATTGAATTTCAGTTCAATCAAAACCAAATTAAAAGGTTCCTTTTTAAGTGTATCTTTTCCTCTTGTTCTATTCCTAATTTTTAATTATAATTCACATAGACTGGCAAGCTCCCCACAAGGCTCAGGGATCAAAATCCAAAAAATCGTTTGGGTTTTTTTTTTTTTCCTTTAATACATATACACAAATACTTTAATGACCACATCCTTTTCCCAGAGGAGGAAAGGGGGAAAGCCGAACTTTAAAGTCACCAAAGTTAGGACCTATAGGTCCAGAAACTCTTTAAGAGACAAGTGTTTTAGTATAATAAATGGTAGAACAACTATTAGCAAGGAAACAAAGCTTTATGAGGCCAACACCACTTCTCTCTCCACCCCAAACAAGACATAAAATCTATTGTGGGGTCACAGGATGGAGCCCAGAAATCAGGACCTTAATCCTGAAGATGAAGACCACACTGAAGCAGATACAGCTGAATTCTGGTCAGGACTTAAACCCCTACAAGACCAGCCTATGGGTGCAGGTATAGGAAGCCAGACCAGAGCCCTGGGGAGGCCAAGCTGTTGTCCTCACCTGAAAGACCTCTAGGGCAACCACTTTTCTAATTACAAACTCAGTCTAATTGGTCCAGTCCTTGGACTTTTTTTTTTTTTTTGTAATGAACATTTGGTGACACTGGTGTTTCTAGAGTGGACTCTTTGGAAGGAGTTGCCAGGCCTGAGCTTCCTCTGCATGTGTGGTTTTGTCATTACAGAAACGTCTCCACCTGTGAAGTGTCCTCCTCCCAGGCCATCAGCTCCCCTCAGCGATCCAAACGTGTCAAGGAGAACACACCTCCCCGCTGCGCCATGGTGCACAGCAGCCCAGCCTGCAGTACCTCCGTCACATGTGGGTGGGGCGACGTGGCCTCCAGCACCACCAGAGAGCGGCAGCGACAAACGATTGTCATCCCCGATACCCCCAGCCCCACAGTCAGCGTCATCACCATCAGCAGCGACACAGATGAGGAGGAGGAACAAAAACATGCCCCCACCAGGTGAGATGTGGCTCCTTAGACTCCGAGGAAGGAGCCTGGGAGAAGGTCACGTGTGTCGCCGGCTCTCATGCCCTATTCCTAAATCTGGGCCATTTACATCATCAAACATAGTGATTCCTCCCTGCTGACCCCTAAATTTTGGTTTTGTCATGTCCTTGGGTCTTAAACTTATTTCAAGAGACTGTCAAACAGATTTTCCATAATTGTTGAAAATCAAAATAATTTGAATCACTTTAGTCTTAAAAGATAGTTGCAGGCCCTATACATTTGACAAACGTGAGACCATAAAATCAGGCCCACAATGCCAGTGTATTTCAGCCTCCATAAGCTTCAGAATATCTGCCTCAGGCTACTGAATTTACTCCCAGTTGGTTGGGACATTTCTCTAATATTGCCTTGGCTCACTCAGAATTCCAAGTAATTGTCCAATTAATCAGAAATTTCCCTGTGTCTGATTAACCCAATCTTTCAAACTGCCAGTTGGCTCTTCACCCAGAGAGCATTACTGTTTATTCCAAAGTAGTAATAATTCATTTTACTCTCTGTGTGCTTCCTGGAGAGAGGGAAGAAATATTTATTATATTTGCACAATATTAACCCTGGCACCAGAGCCTCTTTTTCTATGCTTTGTAGCCAGACTCCAATAAAACATGCTTTCAGCTTGCTTGGCTCAGGTGGTGCAGCCTGGTAAACCTTGGCCTTCTGCACCCCTAGGGGCCTTGGGGCCTCGTAGAACCCCAAGTCTCACAACCCCGCCCTGCTGGTGCCTTTGCTGTAGAACCGTGGGTCAGGGAAGGCCTTCCACTCCCCCGCCCAGCATTGCCAGTCGGCACGAATCCCACAACTGGGTACAAAGCTCAACATTTGTAATTAGGCCCACAGTATTAATTCCTGATTGAATACAATGTAACTAATTAGTAATCACAAATCCTTTTGATTAGATAATAAATTCTCATGCTTGAAATCATTACAAAATGTACAGATAGACTGATTAAAACATTCTCATTATAGCTGTTCCTGCATGGGGCATCCCTTCCCATCTTAATAATGAAGTTCAGTGGTTTGGGTATATTTTTCATGATAGGGATAGCATATTTCTCATTCTTTTTTCCCACCGAGTGGCTCAGCCTGATTTTCAGTATATTTCAGAGAAGAATGTAGTGATCCTGTCATTTGCCAGGTACCAAAGAAGACTTGAGGTCAGTGAGACCAGGCACACATTTGCAGATCAGTATTGCTTTACTCCCCACATGCTGATTCCAGGGCTGGTCTCAGTTCCCTTTTGATCACAGTCCCAAGTCGAGTTAGTGTTCCTTCCTTTCCAGTGCCTCATCCTCCCCACCAAAGGCTGTGAGTTCAGTCTTCACGTGTGAGTTCAGTCTTCACGTGTGAGTTCAGTCTTCACGTGTGAGTTCAGTCTTCATGTGGGCTCAGTGGCCCCTTCATAAGAAGAAAGGCTCTTCCCAGCCCCAAACTGGACACTTGCTTAGGACAGCTCCTATACATTTGTATCATTGTCATAAGAAGGCCCAAACAAACTTGCAAACAACTGGAAAAAAGTGAAAGTAATTTAAAATCTAGTGATCAGTTAGAATGGAATATGATTTTGGAGTCTGAGATTTGAGTTGAGCCAAACTCTGGACATTGAAGTGCTAAGGAGAGAATTAAAAAGTGCCTGAGGACAAGATGCTCTCTCTGCACCAGTCAGGGCTGGAGAGACAGCAAAGCCAAAGGACATACCCACTTCCCTAGCACTCCCAGGCCCCCAAGAGCAGCAGAACTGAAATGCATGGTGGCTCGTGAGGACTTGATGGAAATGACTGAGAGACTCCAAGGAGGCAAGCAGCAGTGGACGGGCAGGTGACCTGTGGGGAACCACCACAGATCATGGCAGTGGGCTTGGTATGCTAAAAGCATAACGGATTGCTTGCCTGGCCCTAGATAATGAAAATGTACCAGGGTCATTCCACCAAAATGGCAAGCTGCAGGTCGACCAGAGTGATGTTGAAGGTCTCAGATGCCYATAGCAGTGACTGGCAGCTCACAGAAGATATGATAGCAATGTTTTCTGGAAAGATAAATGGCTGTTGCCTTAGAAAATGGTTCAGGACCCTGAAAGATAGGAAAGTGTATTTGAGTTTGAGTCTACATGGAATAAAAAAGAAGCCAGTAGCTGTCTTATTTATAGAGAAACTACTGTGTAATTGTGATCACATTATTATGACTATGTTTAGAAACGAGAAAAAAATGTGGGAGGAAATACAATTACTCATTCTTAGAAATCAGAATGTCATAAAATTTAGCACAGTCAATGTTTATTGGCTTCATCAGTGTAAGATATTATGTTGGGCACTGCAGGTGTTACATAAATAAGGGAGCCGATCTCTGTCCTCATGAGGTACACAAAGGAATAAGCAAGATAAGACACATACAAATCATATAACACAAAGCAGAACATCTTTCCAAAAAAAAACAGCAAAGTACTAAAGGGATCTGAAGGGAATGTAACTTAAGGAGATAGCACGGGAGGGGACTTCTCAAGGTCAAAGGTCTAAGCAGTTGTGTACAAACATCAGAGGTGGGGTTGCAGATTCAGGTGAAGTAGTTTATGGTGCAGAGCTGCAAAGGCAGGCACATAGGAGGAATCCCAGTCAGGAAGCTTCTCTAAGAGAAAACAGGACATACAGAGCAAGGAGATTTCAGGATACAAGGGGAGATTGTTAAGGGGTCTCCTGTTAAATAGGGATGGTATGCTTCATTATGAGGTAGTAAGAGACTCAAGGGAAAGATTGGTCCTGGGAAAACAAGTATCACCCCCCAGTGCAGCTAAGTAGGAGTCCACTACATCTCCTACTGGACGACGTTCCTTGCCCTTCTGGGTTTCTTGGTTCGAACAAGGGAGACCTTCTCTCCTTAACCCTGATCATCCTTGTCAACCCCCGCCCCGGCCAACCCAGATCGCTCCTATGCCATGAGCATCGTGTTCCCAACTTTATTTCCTATTTTCTACTTACACTAACGCTAACATTTCTGGTTCTCAGTGCTTGTCCTGTAACTGCCTGAAATGCTGGGCACTACCCCTGATGTGGGTCAGCCTCAACATGACAGTTGGAGAGTCAGGAGCCAATGATGCTCATGAGAATGACTGTGCCCCTCCCTCCAGAGTGCCTTGGCACCAATGTGGGGCAAGTGATGAGGCCACCTTTCCAGACCTCAGGGAGAGTCAGTAAGTCTCCAAGACTGGGTGACATCGCCTAGAATTCTTAAAGAATTTCAAAATAAAACCACTATTCCTGACACCAAATATGTGGCACTTTAGTTGCCAGAACAGGTGGATGGTCATGATTCCGACTTGTAAGGAKAATTCCAGAGCATGCAGGAGGCAGCCTAGGAGGTGGTGAACTCAAGAAGGGTATCAAGTGCTTTCGCCAGCACTGCCCTCTTTGTCACTTACGGGGTGTAGAGGCCACATTTCCTTTTCCCATTTGATAGATGAAGAAGCCCAGGCCCAAGAAAGGAAGTGACTTACCCAAATTTATTAATATTTAATTAATATTAAATTATTAAATAGCAGAATTGTGATTTAGATGCCCTGAAGAAATGGCAAGCTTAATTAGTGACGAAAATAACTGATTTATCTTCAGTCATTAACAATATAATTCTGTCCTGCACTCTTTTGTGACCACCACTATGTCCTGGTAGGATATACTGTGTGCAGTGCACCATGCCAGGGATGTGGAGAGGTCAGAGTGTTGTACGCTGAGCCCCACTGAGTACTGGGCATTCATCAGTAAGCTGGAGCCATCTCAGGAGAGGGACAGAAATCAGCTCTTCTAATTCTTTGAATTTTAGTGGTCAGACCACAGAAGAGCCAATGGACTCTGCTTTTTCAATGAGTCACTTGTTGGTCTAGGGGTTTCATTGGTTGTGTCTAGAGAATTGGCGTCAACTCAGAAAACCTAAATGATAGACATATTTTTCTGTGGCCCCCAGGAGTAAGTAGTAGAACTATAAAATATTTATAGTTAACTTAGAGAAACATCTGTCTCCATATGCTGAGCAAGCCCTCTTTTCTCACCAAAAATTTCCTCAGACAAGAGTTTGCAGGTGCATGTCTGATTCATCCAGACCCTCCTGCCAACCTTGCCTCGTGCTGAAACTGCCACACAGAGGCCCAACGTATGGCCTTCCAGTGTGAGGATAGTTTTTGAAGTGTGTAACTATCAGTGCTCCAGCTGCTCGTCCATTCTTCATTATTCACTCATATATTCATCCGTACATTACTTAAAAGGCCCTGGCAGATAGGTTGTTGTACTTGGGTCACCGGGCACTGCTGCATTCTGCACTTCACAAAGACTGTTACAGCCATTGGAACAATAATGTAAACTGTAAAAAAAAAAAAAAAAAATGGTTCATAAATATCATTCAGTTTTTTGGGATTTTTTAGTAAGACAGTCATTTGAGTCAGTCTTAAAATTAGAGGTGGGGTTGCAGAATACATATTAAAAAAAATTAGCCCCAATCATTTCCTCCTTTATATCAAATTGTAAAACCAGAGAAACTAGTTGGAAAACCGAATAACTGCTGCTCAAAAGACTTTGGTCTAAAAAATAGAGAGAGGTGAAAAAAACCACACTCATTTATTACTACCTGAACAAAAATCAACCCAAAGTGGAGTTCATCTTCATTGCCACCCACAGCCTAGTTGCTCACTGCTGCCCTGTGCTGGTTAAGAAGGCCACACAGCCAAATCTTGCAGGCACAGGAACATCCTATTCCAGCTAGAGTGAAGAAGCAAAGGAATCAGACACACAAGATCATTTTAAGGGTCTTTGTTGCCTGTCCGTTTTAACACACTTCCAGAGTTGAAAGATGTTTCAATCATATGATGCATCTGGAGCAATGAAAGGCCTTTGGTCCAGCCAACTCACAGCATCCTCATTACAGGGCCCCATTCACTACACTTGAGTGGATGAAGTAGAGTGGCTTAGGGAATAAGC